ACAAGGGCATGTTGATGACTCATGTTCAACTTGGAGTCCATCAGGACCACCAATGCCTTTTCTGCACTGACAGCTGGTCAACCCCCAGCCTGTGCTGGTAAATGGGGTTGTTCATCCCCAAGAAGTGCAGGATTTTACACTTTGCTTTGTTGAACTTCATGAGATTCCTTTCAGCCCATTTCTCCAGCCTGTCAGGGTCCCTCTGATTTGCAGCACAACCTTCTCTTGCCGTGTCAACTGCTCCTCCCGGTGTTGTGTCAGCTGCAAATTCACTGATGGTAGGTACACTGTCCTAATACTCACACCCTTAGGGAAGATGTTAAATAGTGTTAGACACGGGAGTGACCCCTGGGCAGCACCACTACATACTGACCTTCAACTAGACTTCATGCTACTAATCACTGCCCTGTGGGCCCAGTGGTCCAGCCAGTTTTCAGTCCACCTCACTGTCTGCCCATCCAGCCCACACTTCCTTAGCTTCTCTGAGAGAATCTTATGGGAGACAATGTTGAAAGTCTTACTGACATCAAGGCTGTCAACAACTGCTGTTCTGCCCACATTTGCCAGGCCAGCTGATCTATCATAGAATGTGAGCAGTTTGGTCAAGCAGAACTTCCCCTTGGTGAATCCATGCTGCCTATTCATGATCACCTTTTTGTGCTTCATACACCTATAGATTCCCAGGATTAGTTTCTCCATCATTTTCCCAGGGTTTGAGGTGAAGCCGGCTGACCTGTAGTTCCCTGGGTTCTCTGTATTATGCTTCTTGAAGACAGAGGTAACATTTGCTTTCCTCCAGTCTTCAGACACTTCCATTTGCCATGATCCATCAGTTTGTGGAAAGTATCCTTGCAATGACATCTACCAGATGCCCCAGCACTCACAGGTGCATCCCATCAGGGCATGGACTTATTTATTTATTTCTAATTTGCTGAAGTATTATCCAATCTGATTCTCTTCTACAGAGGGCAGTTTTTTAGAACTTCAGTACATGGAAATTACTTTGAAGTGCCTCCTATCATCAAAGAAACTATTAACATTCAACTTCTATGTTATCTTGCATACAGAGAAAGTACTTGCAGCTCTTTGCAACAACAGGCCATAATCTGAAGTTAACTAAGTTAACTTCACCTCAGTGTTTATTTACAGTGTTTATTTATTTTATGTGGTTTATATAACTGAAATCCTTAGTGTTTGGTAGATTCTACCTATTTTTTTCTGACAGATAGCTTATTCCCATTGCAACCCAATGTTTGTGATGCAAGAGGTTTTCTTTGCACTGAATGAAAGACATATTGAAACAATTTTCTGTGGTGTTTGAAGGAATTCAAAGAAATTAATTTTACAATAAATAGCTTAGTCACACTTCTATATTTAAGAATGAGGATGGCAAGAAAACTCTACCAGATCTTTGCTATGACAAAGAAAGAAAAATCTGAGAAAGCTGACACTTTTCTACTATAAAGTTTATTAAACTAATAATAGCAACATATTAGACAGTATAACTTCTGTAGTTACATTTCAAATATAGCAGTATACATTCACTTGTAAATCTTTTTCTTCAAAGAGTTTTAACCTCAACTTTCTACTTTCTTTTGAATCCCTAAGGGGTCCTTCATTTTGGTCCCTCTCTTCATCTTACTACGCAGACTATTTTAGATCAAAACTTTAATTAATAATCCCATAAACTATCAGCTTCTTTTTTTTTGACCTGCAATAATCAAAATTATATATAATGCATGATGATTGGTTAGGAATCATTAAGACCTTTGGGAATTAAAAGGAATTGCAGGCACTCACGTTGTATTTTAATATCATGACAATAACACATAATGTGAATGTTCCCTAAGTGTTCATGAAGTTAAGTACAAACTGTTACTCATTTATATTATTACCAAGTCTTCCTTTTCTAGGAATTGTTTTTAATTAATATTCAAGGCTAAGACAATCAGACATTAGTACTCTATTAAAGTAGAAAAATACTTTAAAACATGATTTTTGTCTTTAAAAACTGATTAAAATGTTGAGAAAATTCTAGCTTAGAGATACAGTTCTCTAAGGGTGCATATTTTCTAGGTTTAGAGTTGTGGGTGGAATTTTGTTGGCAATAATTTTTGATCAACATAAAGATTTTATTCTGAGTTCAGATTACCAGAAAAAAAAAAAGATTCCTTGCTTTCAAATTTCAAAGCTGGTCGGGTTTTTTTGGGTAATAAATTTACATCATTTATTATAGTTAATCCGAGCTCTGTTGGCCATTGTATTTCTACTATTTTCCTTTCAGAACTCCTTTGTGACCCAGAGCACTGGGCAAGTAGCTGTAACCCTCTCTGCAAAAAGTGTTACTGGGAGTGAGCACCCGGCATGGAGGGGCTGTACTGCATGGGAGAACTCAATGTTCTCTTAACTTTATTTCCTTAACTTTGAAGGACCGAGAGAGATGAGACTTTTCATTTATCACTGGAACAAGTCTAGAGAATAAATCAGTCTCAGAACTGCCTTTTCAGATCTCTCTCCCTCTCTCTCTGAGAAGTCTGCTTAGATTTTAAGAATATGATTGTGGATGCTCTAAGCACTATAGAAAACTGGTTGCAAAGACACAGCATAAGAAAAAAAAAAAAGTAAAGGAAAAAATGCACTTTAGTAGGTGACAGAACTTCACCTGTGTGGTACTGTGGAGTTTAGTTGTTCCAAATCCAGTTTAGAATGATTAAGTGCTTGTAAAATGACACTGAGACTTCCCAGGAATTAAGCAAAACCTGCCTAGTGTGCCACGTTCCAGTCAAGCGAACTGCTGGTTTGCCCACAGAGGGAATGGTCTCTTGGTCTGTCACTGAAGTCAGCATTGCCTGTGTTAAAATAACAAATTTATCCAGTGATGTTGTCTATGCATATGCGACAGGGTACATGTATCCTTCCTCTGTTTGCTCAGAGTGAGTAAAATGCAGATGGGTTTCCTTGACTAAAACAGGAACAAAGTTTGGTGGGTGGATATTACTCTTATGTATGAAGGATTTAAGGCTGATATCTGCCTTAATTGGTGCTGCTAACAATGGACCTAAAGCCCCAGGCTAGACATGCAAACTGAACTAAAATCTATATCTGGTTAGTTTGTTATTTTTTCTCTGTCAAAAAGCTTTGACCTGATAGGTGCATTTACCTTACATAGTTACAACTTGAACACTACTTATTTTTGCATTTAATATTTGAATTTCAGTTTCATGGCACATTCTAATTGTTTTCACTCCTAAAATTGAACTGTACAGATTATTTTTGGAATGCAAAAATTATCAATATACACTTAATTTCATCCAATGTATTTCAGAGCTCAAGCACAAGTTGAAAATCACAGCTATTATTTCCCATTCCTGTTCTTTGTTGCCTTCTTTGTTAAGCAGTAGAAAGTGCTAATGGGAAATCACCTTCAAAACTGCACATTTGTGTGATTTATTGTCTTAAATTCTATTTGTCCTTTTGGTCTTATGATTTATCATATCACTGAAGTGAACCAGTATAACCTTTAAATAAGCTGAAAGATGAAGTCCTTAATTGTTTTTATGATGTGTTGCAATAGGAAGCCACGATGATGATGATGCAATAGGATAGAATTTACTACTCAGATATTTGAAAAAAAGGAAAAGAATCTGATTCTAGTTTTGCATTTATAAATTACCTGTCCTGGGGAAAAACAAACAAACTTGTTACAGAAATTGTCAGTGCAGTTCGGGATAAATCATTTCAGAATGAGATCTGTTGCTACATATTGTGTAGTTAATGTTATTTTATATTTGTCTATCGATTTTAGTCCCTCATTTATACAGTTCTGTTGAATGAACCATGTCATATCTGTGCAAGCATGAGAAAATGAGCAATAAGGGATAGGTACTGTTTCTAATGGCATTTTTGTTCTTGTGTTTTCCCTATTTTAGTATTTTTCTTCTTTGACTTTTTTTTTTTTTTTAAATGAGAAAAAATTGAAAAAATACAATTCAGTTTAACCTCATCTGCAATAATATTGTCCATGAGGAGCTTCTTTTGTATGGTTAACTGAAAGGCAGAAAACCAACCCAACATTTCACAGACATCTGTTTGTAAATAGCAAAAATCAAGTAGAAAAAATCAGTCTTGATCTTCTGAATGATTGCATACCTCTCTGTCCTGTGGTAGCTATCTGTGACACCTCTCATCGTTTTAGCTGCAGAGAAAGAAAATGTGCTCCGATGTTGGGTGCTTCCCCATTCCAAACAATAAATAATTAACAAATTATTCAAAACCCTGCTAACAGATCAGGAAAAGATGCTAAGAAGAAGATGAGTCCATTTTCTCCAAAGAGAAGGGGAAAAATCCACAAATCTCCAAATCCACAAATCTCCAAATAATAGCACATAATATTTTCAAGTTATGAGGTGAAAAAGTAAAGAATCAGTCAAAGCTGAATTTCTTCTTGTATAAGTTTCCATGTTGGTCACAGAGCCTATGGGAAATATTTGGTGGTGATGGTAAGTGAGGAGATTGTTGTTGAGACAATTTCACAGCTACAGAGTGACTGGAGGAAAACTGTTTCTAGGTACACGGTCAGACCATGATACACTGAATAATCTGACCAACTCTTTTCGGTCTGTCTCTGGCCTCAAGAGCTCTGACCTCACTACTAGATTTTTTGAAAATTACTCATGTATAGCAATACTTCAATGACCTTGAGCGAGGGATTCTCAATACACTGTGAACTTTGCTTGTGTTACTACCTCCCACTGGTCTTTTAGGATGCAATTTGAACATGATGAGAATTCTGGATGTTAAGCAGATATTATGATAGAAATACCATGGAAGAAATAAATTCACATGTTCTTTTAATTTTGATTTTCATATTTTCAGTAGAGATAACATCAAGAAATGAGCTTATTTCTGTGTTACTCTTTCTACTGCATAAATTCTGTTATTTAAATAAACATTTATCATAGTTCATTTATTCAGTAATTTTAGCATTTTTTTTCTTTCAGTAACTTCTGGTGAAACTGTTGCTGTGGATACACAAACCAGGGTAACCAAGGAAACCATCACCTTCAAACCAGAAATGCCATCTTCTGTGCTTTTGGAGATTCCAGCTTTGGCTGACTTCAATAAGGCATGGGCAGAACTCACTGACTGGCTTTCTCGACTGGATCGAGAGATAAAATCTCAGAGAGTGGTAGTAGGTGATCTTGATGACATCAACGACATGATCATCAAACAAAAGGTATGAGAAACACTGATTTTTCAAGTTGAAAGCCTCATTAGGTTACAATACATGCAGTTGTTCTACTTTATCCCTTAAACACAATTATTGGATGAAATGTTTAGGTAATTTATTAAGCAGAAAAGGAAGAGTATTTAGTATTTTCTCTGGTGTTTAAAGCAGATCTCTTTATAGTGCTTGTGCTTAAGAGTATGCAAACCAATGGGTGAAATTTAAGTATCATGAGAAAGAAGGAATTGCACAGTAAGCTCCAGGTTGCCAGGAGGAAAAAGACCCTGTTAGATGCCTTTTCATATGTTACTTCTGTAATAACTTTCTGAAAGGCTAATATACTGGTACATTTGATTTAGCAAAAGCTCCTCAGTTCTCTTAATGAAAAGAAGAGCTCATTAATGCAATTGTTTTGTCAGCAAAACTACATCAGTGTTACTTATCTTTGAAAATATAGAAAAATATAGAAATACATGTGCAAGATAAAAAAAGGGCTAAATTTTAGCTATTCAGTAGCAATAAAAGTAATTTGGTGTTATACAGCTTCAGAGTAATTACCTGCCTTCTAGATTTAACATTACTCAATATAAAAGATTTGGCCTGCCTGTGCAAAACTTTTCAATGCTAAATTTCCAATCAGTTGAGTTCTAAACTGAGTTTTGGACTCTCTGTTACAAGATTCTCTTCAGTCTCCTCTTCTTCCTCCTCATAATAAAAAATCTGATTTATTGTAAGGAAGATATTGACATTCTTTCTCTTTGCTTAAACTAGAAAGAGATGGAGAAAAATTGGATACATTTTTCTGAGTATCTTTACTGAGATGTTTTATTATAAGGAGATATGGTGATATCTCATGGGATTCATTCTGCTTGTTTTCTTATATTTCCCTTTTTCCCCAGTGTTTTAAACTTTCTATTTTGAGACTTTTGGTTTTCTCTATCTTCTAGATAAAGAAAATATTTGTTTCATCTTGATTAAAGATCATAATATTTATCAAGTAGAATTATAGATGGCTTCATTAATTAAAATATATTTAAAATGGAAGGGGTATATTTTAATGATAATTGCAATGTCACCTACACAGGACATTAGGTTAAAATAGCTGTTATGTCATTGCAAAGGTTGAGGGCCAAAGAAAACTTGTTTACAAACAATCTTTTAATCTTTTTCAGAATCATTTTATTTTTAAAATTTTATATTGTCAAATACTTGGTTCATCATTATACAGTTTTCTTACTTATGCCTCACTTTAGCATATTATTCTGGCAGGCAAAATCCAAAGCTTCCTTCTACTGCAGATGTTTTTGACTTAAATACGAGGTCAAATTATTAACTCCCAAGAATTTCAGTTAATGTTATACATGTTATAAAATGAACTGCTTCATATTTGCATTTCATCTTCATTCAAGGCTAAAATATTTCAGCACTAGTGCAGTCAGTTCCTGGCTGGGTAGCCTGTCTCTTTTTTTGATACCATGCTGTGCTGGTAACAAAACCAGCAGGAAAACTCTTTTTTATTGTGCTTACCTCTCTAATTGGCTGTGCAACAGAATGTGACATTTAATATATTCTCTGATGAAATGGAAGAATCAGTGTCTAAATATAGACTGCAGTTCTGTTAACTGTCTCCTTCTTCTCTAATGATCATCTTAATAACGCTTAATACATGGAAATGAATCTCATGAAATATTTCATTCTTCTTGTAAATCTATCACTGGATTATTAGGTAAGATTAACAGACAGAATTTTCAAAACTGACAAAGCATTCTAAGTTTCTCAAAAAAACTCCTGCTTTCTTACGTGCAGGGTGTCTGCAGCAGTATGTGAGCTGATGAAGTTGGACATGTGGGTAATTGACTAATGTGAAAAGTCGGGCCAGATATGATCTAAGTTGGAAATCCAAAAGTAGTGCTTACCTCCCCTGATCTTTATATACTGTAGAAGATTATAGTCATGCCTCTCCTGTGGTTGTGATTTAAAAGTCATTGAAAGTCACAGTATTGCACTGTGGTTTATTTGGAGAGTTTATTGCATCTTTACAGGCATCTCAGTAAGATTTAATGAAAGTTCCATCTTTGTAGATTGAGACGCTTTTTTTAAAAAACAGTTTTTTAGACTTTAGGTATAAAATACCATCTTAACACAGCCACCTGCTTCCTTATACAAATTCATCATTACAGAGATACATGCTCCATGAAGGCTGTTTTATTATAATACATCTCTAGCTGCTCGCCCAGACTTTAGAACACTTCAAACAGCTACCCCTGTTGGTGTGCTTCCAAACTCTTACTGTTTTGGGGTTTTGTTTCTATTTCGGATGTCATTCAAAACAGACAGCCACATTTCTAATAAGAAATTGAAATGTCAAAGCAAACATTTCAAAAGCAAAGAAATCCCATATCCTAGCAATGTATGTAACAGGTCATTTTCCGAATCACCCAGGTAAAAGTAAGTGGCCTTAGGTTGTCCTTTCTTTCACAGCACCGTGTAATATTGTTGAAGCTCCGTCTCTGAGGGCATTTTGGTTAAGTTCACTTCAATTTGATTGTGTCACAGGATCACAGCCATATTTTTCCTCCATAAAAGTTTAAGACATCATTAGCCCTCACTTGAACTTTGCTTGGAGCTGATCACAGTGAACTGGTACTTTTGTGTGAATAGTATGTACACTGGTTAATTATGAAATGAGAAAACTCAGACAACCATTTCAAAAAAGCCTTTTTTTTAGTGCAGCTTCCCCTTAATGAAAAAAAAACCAATACAAATTAAATTCTCCTAAGTGGTGCACATAATATATAGTAAAAGGAGTATAATAAAAAAGTAGCATAATGGGTAGTCATTTCAAATACCTGTAGTTAATCTGTCAGTCAAATGAGTGGTATACATTTCTTTCAAGCAAATGCATTACATATTTCAGTCATCTGTGATTGTATATATCTTGTTAAATTCTCTATAATTAAACTAAAAGTCACTAAAAAGTGTGTAATAAAAATATTTAATACCAGCATTAGTGTCATCCCTGTTTTCATTAAAGGAAAAATATTATCTTTACTCATCTACTTGAAGACTGATGTTTTTCAGGATTTGAAGCTTAATGAAAGAAATGTAAAGCAGGCTTACAAGAGACTCATGTGTTGTTTCTTTAGAAAACATTAAATAAAGCAAATAAAGTTCATGAGAAATGCTGTGGATATATAATATGCCAAGATGTAAGTAAATGAGGGACATGACAGAATATGGTTTAACCAGCTGTTTCATTTCACTGTTCTTACTTCAAAACAGTCAAAATGTTCTATATTTGAAGGTCAGGTGGGGATGCTTCATAAAAGAAAAAAATGTGGACTGAGGTAAAGGATGATATATTCCATTTTGCTACATTTTAGAAAAATGGAAACCTTACTTGAGATACCATTAAACCTTTACTTGGAAACTCGGCTTTGACATCTTTGTATTTTGCAAAGGAATAGATTTCTGCTAAAATTAGTGAATCATGGAGGCTGTGCAAAACCTGAGAGTAATAACAATGCTTTTCAAAGGGATGAAGTACTATAACCTCCTTAAATTTTGAACTCTGTCTATGAATTTGGCCAAAGTATACTGTCCATCCAAATTTTTTGTAACACATGTAATTGAAAATATACCTTTTTATTACACTGGTTGAACATAGATTTTAGTTAGTAAAAAGTATCATAGTAAGTATTCACGAATGGGACTACAATTTTCAATGCCTACTTTGACATTAATTCTAAGAGCATAGGTTGAATCTTCAATGTTAGGTACACTGGAGAGGATTAATCTGAAAAAAGTATGTAGAATGAGACCAAGCTGGTTACTGAGACCTTTAAGCATAGAAGAGGAAAAGATACCTTTAGGTAATGATTTGTGTCACCTGAAAGTAGTCATATAAAAAGATGTAGAGAATTTATTTCTACTTAATTAATTTGTCACTATTCAAAAAAAAAAAAAAAGTAGGTTTGATCTTCTGTCAGTTAGAGAAGTAAACAATACTGGAATGAGATGTTTTCACTATTAATTCTGAATTGATTTGTCAGTAGTTGAGAATCTTGTATGGCTGATGGATTTTAAAATAACAGTTAAGGAAAAATATTTTTTTATAAACTGTGCAATTAGCAGATTTCAGAAGAAGGAGTGAGCTTCATTTACATTCTTCTTGTTTGAGGATTTTTTACCTATCCTTTCTCATGGTTGCATACCATGCATTTTAGTATACAACTCTATAATAAAATGTGCATTTTCGTACGCAACCTTACAATTAATATGGTGATAGATTAGAAGAATAGGAAGTTTTCTGTCCAAAATCTTTTCCAACATAAAATTTTGTGCAAATAAAAATAGAGTTTTCCAGATTTATATCCTGTTATTACAGAAGCAACAATAAGTTCCAAATTAAATTTTACAGTTCTGTATTACAGAGTATGAGTCAGTGTACTCTAAATATGCCCATGTTGAATGAAAAGTTGTAGTTACAGCCAGAGACATTTGCATCTGTGCACATAGTTTACGTCAGAAGTGTAAGCTGTAGGCAAAGTGAAGTTCTCAGCCTTTTGGATAGTGCACTTTAAGGTCTACAGAGTTTTGAAGAAGTTTCATATTAGTGACATATGCATGAAAAGACCCACGTAGCACATCTTTAGATAATGTACTTTTGAAGAACAGCATAGAAGATTTTACACTTGGTGCTGAACCTTTTCCAGTTCATGTGATGTGCTTAAAGGGAAGAGTTTGCTACTCCAGGATCCAAGCGTGGTACCAGTAAGTTGGGAATTTACACTCACACTTGCTGAATCAAACCTCAGGAGCATATTTGCCCCATCCTTCCCAGCTGTCATGCTGCTTTGAGAGTTGTTTCAAATGCTTCTAGGATCTTCTGTTTCCATATGAATGCACAATTGCAGATATTCCCTGGGTTACTGTTGGACCAGGATAAACAATCTCCCAGAGCAGGGCTGGAGCTGAAACTGATTTTGCCACACGTTGGATGATTCATT